GATCCTCAATTGTTTTCTCATCTTCGAGTAAATCCCATTTTAAAAGGGCCCTATTCTTCTCATCTTCAGGTTCATACTGGATTTGTATTTAGTGTCTCCATGCTTTAATGCTCAAAAAGCTCTTTATTAGCCGCTTTCACACCAAGTACTTTGCCGTACTTAGTTCCCAGCACTTATACCTCATTCACACCAACGGTGTTTCAGGGCCGGTTCGGAGCTGGAGCTTGAAAAGCACCGGGTTTTCCTGTTCACACCGCAGCGGAGCAGCCTCTTAGCTCCGGAATCCGGTTTGTTTCAAGCACCAAAAAATTGTCCAGCCAGAGCAAAAGCACCGCATACGTCACGCTTAGGTCGNCCGTCACAGTGGCGCGTCCCCTCCCTCTTGAACTCACTTCTCACCATACCATCACAGACTCCGCACTAAGACTCTAAAACCACCTTCCACAAACTCACAACATTACTCACCTCTCTCAATCTGGGCTTTCTCTTGTGTCGATTGTTTATTGTACTTACTTTGACTTTACCCCTATATAGAGCTGATCTTATTTGTTCCTTTCTTCTTCTTTTCACTTATCTGTAAACCGCGCTCTTTGAGCACTTGCGAGTCACGGCTTCAACTAATTAATGTAGTGGTGAGAGGGTTTGGTTTCATACGTGACCTGTTTGGTGGTTGCTTCTCCTCTTCCGAGCTGCGCTTGTCCTTGTGCGGCATGGCAGAAGGGTCATCATTGTATAGTGCGGCACCCTCACGAACCAAGGTTTCTCCAGGTCCCCTGGTACTGCTGCATGTCTTCCCAAGCTGTTAGTCTATGTGGCACTTTCTTTAGGTTTGTTTATGTTATTCTTTGGTACCTCTTCTTTTGCCTCCAGGACCCGTTTCCCTTTGCAATGTGGGATATAAAAGACTGGTTTTGGGAGGACGAGAGCTCAGGCATGCGGATAACATGGCCAGTCCATCTGAGACGGTTTTGGGGCAATGGTTGGCAGTGATGGTGGGAATGTTCAACACACACACATTTTATAATTGATACAATATCAGGGGGACCCCTAAGCTCCTAAAACACGATGGCGAAACATTTTTGCCTCCCAAGGAAACTAAAGAAAGTCCATGCCATACAGGGTTAAGGCCACTATCCGTGCAGAAGTAACAAATAATTCTTGATTTCAGTATTGTATTAAAAGTGGTTACAGAAAAAGGCTGCCATTCGAATATGCTATATCTTATATACTATCCATATTGTTATTAATTCAATGAACACATCAGTGGTCCGACTTTCCGAACATAATCTACTCTGCTCCAGGACTACTGATCCGTGCAAGTCATTGCTGATCGTCGTGGTCTATCCATTGTGAGCACTGGACCGTTGAGCAGCATAACCCAAGCATGGAGGGCAGAGGGCCAGAACGTCCAAACTGCACAAACGTTCACCGGTTTGATATAAAAACTGCACGCCCCTCAAGCATATTAGACGCTATTCAGGTCATCAAATCCTGTTGCTGATGTGCACGAGATCACCAGCCATGCAGCACCAGGTTTATCTCACATCACCTGTACCACCTCAAGACACTGCCCACCTGAAACTTCACACACGACTAACCACGACCCAGGTCCTCGCGACATGGCGCAGGCACAATTAGCACAGGTGAGGGAGAGAGCAAAACACAGCGACGACCAGGTGAACACAATCGGGATAATCAGCAGGCATAGGGACACCAGAGACGACCGGAAACAGAACACACAGACAAGATGAGGGTGGAACACTTATATATATTAATATGACCATTTAATAAATTAATAGGTACAGCGGCGTCTCGTCGTTACAACCATATCCCCTTATAAAATACTCTGTCCAACAATTCCAGTCTCATCAAGAAAGGTGTTTTCCAACGCTGATTCAAAATAGCAGAGAAAACATGCATTCTTGGTTCTCCAGGAGGGGACATTGACAGAGGAGTACTCACAAAAAGTACACATTCAGTAACTTCATAGTAAGGCTACTTGTTGTGGGAGTAGGTTTCACTACTTAGCCTACTGAGTCCAACAGGATCGATCTCACGAAGAACTTTTGGCAGAAAAAATAATAACAAACTTGAGAGACGGCTGAGTGGACCGCAGTGCAGAATCGCTGTTAGTTGAAATCCTCCTAACAATGTTGTCCATTTTAGACACAGGCCTATTATATTTATAGCCCTTAATAACATTCATTTTCTGTGCTCAATATGTGTCTTGGCTGTTTTCGTCGCCGTGAAAACAAATGGACCGTAGATACACGGGATGACCGTCCTCATCTGCGCTCTTATTTTGAAAGACAACTTCCGGTCGCAGAATATGAAAAAACGGGGGTTTTTTTGTTTCTGTTTTCTCGTGATTTTATTTTTTGTTTTGAGAAGCAGAAAATGAAAATCATCCCGTTTTTTAAGTTTAGTAAATCCATTTTTGACCATGATAAAGAAAAACGCCTTGTATTTCAATTTTGGTCTTTCAATTTGAAAACGAAAATCAAATATCCAGTCGTTTTTTCGTTTTTGAATATCCATTTGTGAAAAGAAAATCCAATGACCAAAACATACACTGACCTTCTTACTGGGTAGTATTAATATTTCTTTTTTTTTTTTTATTATCCGCTGATTTACAGACGTCTCTTTCCCCATGTTACTCAATAGCCGTGTTCAAACCGCGTACTTTGCAGTAGCCTACTTAGTGCCGGCACTTAGTGCCCCAGGGCACTAAGTACCAATCGCGTTCATACCGGAGTACTTTTCCCTGAGGGAAGATTACGCAAATGAGCCGCTGACGTCACTTCTTCTGCTTTGGGTTTACTGGCAGGCCGCAAACAACTTCACGGCGTATACTGCCACCCGGAGTCCCCGGCCTGAAGTCCCCGGAGTTGGGGACTGGCTTCAGTAGAAGCTGCTGGGACCCCCAGAAGCTTCCGAGTAAATCGCCAGAACTCTGACACCTCCTCATCACTCCACCGCTCCCATGTTTTTTGTTGTGTTGCCATAAGTTATTCTCTCTCCGTTGGTGCGCGAGGCTAATGCTAATAATGCTAATGAGAGCAAATAAAAATAGTTTTACAGGGCGTGGTTTGCAGTTCGCCCAGCCAATCAGAAATTGGTACTTTTTTCTCCCCAGGATAGTCCAACCTCTCTAGCAGACACAAAAAATGTGGGTAAAAGTTCTCTGAACTAAGTTCTCTTTTTGGTGTAAACGCAAAATTCCAGGCACTAACGGAACTAAATGGGAAAAGTACGGGTAAAAGTACTCCGGTGTGAAAGCACCTATTGTGTTCTCATACTGTCTGTGCAGCAGCACCTCTTTTCACCCTCTGTCTGAAACCAGAGCCCAGTCTGCTCTGATTGGTTGGCTGACTGGCTCTTTTGTGATTGGTCAACCGCTAACAGATGTCCCGCCTCTTAGCCTATCACGTACAATGTGTTGGAGCGCTAGCCAATAGGAGCTCAAGTGTTACCTAGAAACGCAAGTGTTACATAGTTAGACAGAGTCCAATGGAGGCATTTCGAGGGGTAAACTCCCCTTTCAGGGAATTTGGGGATTTAGCCTTTGCAGACACAAAAACCTATAATACCCCACATGAAATTAAAAAAACTCAAAAAGCACACTAGGGCCTCTTTAATGTGGTTCTGGAGCTCAGAGAAATGAGAGTCCTAAATGATGACCATGTATGCTCATTACATCTGGACCGAATGAGAACAGACATCATGACTTTCTTAAGCTTTATTTTGTCATTACACATGCAGGAAAATCTCCATTTGATAAACATTTCTGGATGGTTATCAGAGGAGTTTGCAGAACATCTTGAAAGGATGAAGATGCTACTTTGGCTTTGAATAATGGGAGGCTGTTTACTCTGTTGCAGATACCTATAGATAGCTCTCAATTTGGGCAATAAACACTTTGAGGAATGGCCGCCTGCCAACCCTTCTCTCCGTCTGTGTTTGTCTCACTTTGTAGCATCATAAGGCCACAGAGAATGTGAGAAAATCCTGGGATTCATGCGAGATTATAATTAAAATGTAGACATGCATGCAAAGTGTAAGGCTAAGGATTCGACTGAGAATACATTTATTGACATTCTTGTTATTCTAAGGAATTGCTCTTCCACTAAAAGTACATTTTCCATTGGTATAAAAGCTGATGGTGGAAAACCAAAGTATGTTCTGAGCAAACTGCTGAATGAAACAATGTAGCTGGTGTTTCAGAATCATCTGTGTCTTATCATTGGAAGAAAAAAAAAGTCCCTAAACAGAAAAACGTGGAGACTTTTCTTTCAAAGAGCCTCCAGAGCGGCTGTTGTCTTTAAGGAGGGAGGGGAGATTGCTTTCAGCGGCCTCAGCCCAGGACTGGTTCTCATCATTTTGACAATAAAACTCAAGGAGTTGAAACAAAGCAATGGTTCAGAGAGAGAGAGAGAGAGAGGGAGGGAAAAAAACGAGGGGGCTAGGAGATTTCCGCTGGCCTGCAATGAATTGGCTCCCCCTCCCCTTCCCTTCCCTTCCGATTCCCACAGAGGAGTAGAGAGGTGATTTTAGGAAAGCTTTGGAGGCTTAATTCCTCCGTGGCACCCTGGGGGCTGAAGGACGCACGGACCAAAGGGCTTGAAATGGTTCAAAGATGAATGAGTGACTGTGCCTTCAATTCCCAGAGGTTTGTTTTTGTAGTGTCAGGGTTTTATTGCAGCTATAACAAGCTAAGATGTGACAGAGTAATGAATGAAAGAGAGTTCAGATCACCTTGAGGGTTAGGGAACAATACTCAGCTGACTTTAGGCACTTGCTCTTGCTTTTGTGCGGGTATGAATACAAAGAAATGTCAAACACTGAAGTCCCTGTACGACACTCATGTCCCTTTGAAGCACAATCAAACAGGCCTCATGCAGAGAGCCAGATGAGAAGAATATTCCTCTTATTGTTGTTTGTGTCCACAATGTTTGCTCTTTTCTTGGATAAGAGAACATTTTACAAGTGGCCAAGAACATATTTGCCAAGATAGGATAAAAAGCATTTTGTTTTGACAGTCTATAAATGTTTTTTCAATACAAGTAGACTTTGATGAATCAGGCATAATACGATTTAAACAGAGAACCATGGCATGCGTTCAGCTCTTAGATGCTTTTGGATTTTCCTAAAACCCCAGTACAACACTCTGGAGAATCACAGTAAAATGTGTTGAAGTTCCTTTAAAAGGTATCTCAATTTCACTTTTGCTGAATTTAACTGAAAGACTTATGAGGCATATGCCAGAGTATTTGCACACGGCACAGCACCTGACCTCATTAATGCTTAGGGCATGTTACCTTTGCTGAAATGAACAATTAGCCACCAATTTTGGACCAAGTGGGATTTATCTTTCATAAGACAAAGGTTAGGAACGCCTGGGGCATCTGGAGTTCACAAATTAGGGAAAAATATGAAAGAGCTCTTGCTGCATGAGGCCCATTCTGTATTAAAAGATCACATTAGTTTTATAATATGGGCAGTGCATGCTTTCAACAAGGCTGACATACTGTATCAACAACACTATGTATATATTTACAGACAAATCTGTACACTTTTTACATTCCGATACTGATAAACGCATTAGAAAATAATCAGTTTCATACAAAAACTGCACCACAGAGGTGACCGTCCTTTTTATATGTCGGCGCTGGTGCAGACCTGCGACAGCCGGGGGTCGGAGTCGATCTCGAAGCGGTAATGGTACCCCTCCCACACCTCCCTGCAGGCGTCCCGCAGGTCGTTGATGCGCTTCTTGATGCCCTTGCGGTTCAGGTAAAGTACAAAAAGAAAAATGAGACCAACGAAGCCCAGGACTATACCCAAGAAGACGTAAGAGGTCTGCAGAGCGAGGTCAGCCCCTGCCCCGCTCTGATGGCACCCCAGAGTTAACGTAACCACGGAGAGCATGGATGTGTTCCTCATGCCCGTTGGGTATGCACACACGAGGCTCTCAGCATCACTAATGCGTCCCTGAGATCTGTTCAGCCACAGAGCAAAAGACTCGATTCCACACGTGCATGTGAAGGGGTTTTCCCCCAGCAGGAGGTCCGCTCTGGGCAGGGAGTCCAGCTCTCGAAGGCCCTCCTCCGGCACCGCCTTCAGGGAGTTTAGCGTCAAGTCGAGCACCTCCAGGCGCTCCAAACCGGTGAATGAGGAGTTGTGGATCGCTACGAGGGAGTTGTTGGAGAGCAGGAGGCGCTGGAGGCTGGTGAGGTGGGAGAAAATGTGCGAGGGGAGGAAGATGAGGCCGTTGTGGGAGAGGTCCAGACTCCTCAGGGCGCCCAGGGAGCCCCAGCGCAGAGAGGTGGCCAGGTCCATCACCGAGGAGTGGTTGTAAAGGGCCCGGCTCAGGTTCAGATCCAGCAGGGAGTGGTTCTGCACCATGAAGGCTTCGGGGTGGATGATCGCCAGCTGGTTGTTGCTCAGGTCCAGAGAGCGGAGGCTGCGCAGCCCCGAAAACGTGTTGGAATCCACCTCGGATATTCTGGGTTTGAGGGAGATTAATGAGACGTTGATTATACTTTTAAATCAAACACAAGAGCAAGAAGGTGGAAATAATGCAATGCCTTTAGACAGAACAGGGCTGATTTGTTTGGATACAAATGCTTCAATAAATTGAATGGGGTATTCATTATAATACAGCTTGATTGAAGCAACAACAAGGAACTAATACTCAATTAGTGCTGCAACAACTAATCGATTGGTTTACCGATCATCAAGTATTTTGATAATCAATCATTGAGTAGTTTATCATGCAAAAATTGTAGGAGACGGTGTCTGCTGCCTCTGGATATGGAGGTTTCTGGCTTTTCTCTGTTATACCAGACATGTAAGACCTCACCTTCAACCTCCCAAAACAAATGACAAATCTCACTATTTACTGACATACAGTAACATCAATGGAGTTAACAATAGGCAGATTAATCAATAACACATTATCAATAGTTGCAACCATACCTGCAGCTGCAAAGGCTAATCAATTGGTTTGGATGGCTGAAAATAACAACTAATTATTTTTGATAATCAATAAATCATAAAGTCGTTTTCCATGCAAAGTTGGCAGAACATGCTGTCAGGAAATGTCCTGCTTTTTTATTGGTTTTACTTCATAATAAAGTGAGTATCTTCAAGATTGAAACAGACATAACAAGACATTTCTACTGTGGACTTTGAGAAATGTATGACATTTTACACAATTTATTTGTTTTATTTGATTAATCGATAAGTTCTGCCCATGCATGTTCTGCTTTGCCTTATCACAAAGTGACCTGGAGTCACCGGGAGAGTCTCACCTGTTGTTGCTCAGAGAAAGGGTCGTCACATTGTCCAGCCCTTTGAAACACTCCGGGCCGATACGGCCGATATGGTTCCCGGTGATGAACAGATTCCGGGTGTAACCGGGGATCCCGGCCGGTACAGCCCGCAGCTCTCTGGAGACGCACTTCACGGTGTGAGCCGCCTCGGAGCACTCGCAGCGCGGGGGACACGAAGCGTAAAGAGAGCCGAGCAGCGCGCAGAAAACAAGGCGCTGCGCCAGATCCCGCATGTTGGAGAGGAGAGAAAGTGAGCGGTGCAAAAGAGAAACACAAATGGTTATATGAAATGATCAGCTCCTCCAAGACGTCATAATCAAAGGTTGTCCCGGCTGGGAATGCGCCTCAACTTTGCATCTCTGCAGAAAGTGTGGCCGGGAGGCAGGGTCTGATTTCCATGAGAACAGAGCTGGGGGTCGTGCTGATCTGAGGGTGTTTGATCCTCTGCCGGGGCGAAGCGGGGCGTCGCTTCTTCTCCAACAATGAAGTTAAAAGGACCCTCGTCTGGTGCGATGATATGTGGGGAGGGGCTTCTCTCCTGCCGGAGCCGCGAGATGTTTCCTCTGGCTGGAGAGAGGAGGAGAAAGTGGCCGAGCCCCCCTCTCTCTTTCTCTCCATGTTTACACTCAAATACAACCATGTGGCGCTGGACAATACTGCAGCTCCTACCTGAAGACAGGGAAAGGAAATCTGATTGAGTTGTTGCAGGACAAAAACATGCTATAGTAATGTGCAGAATTAGAAGAAGTACTCTGGTGTTAAAAATTAACAATACCACAGTGTGGAAATACTCAAAATGTTACTTAAATAAAAGTACTTCACTTTAGCATAGGAATATTCTTAAAGTACCAAAAGTGAAAGTATTCATTTAGCAGAGAAGCTCAATACAAATAATTGGCTGATTATACAATTATTTTCTTAACCTTTTGCTCCAGCGAAAACAATATCTCAGTGGAGTACAAGTAGCACACATTGGGAATACTTAAGTAAAATACCTTAAAACTGATATAAGTACTGCACTTAAGTATTTGTGACAAGGCCCATGTTCCCTATTTGGTAAATGGTTTATTATCAGGTATAATTGTTTTACTTTATTGGATTTCTTTATGAGAATTTCATCAGTTCATCAAAACTGCCCAATTTCTTATGAACAAAAAAAAAGCAGGATGTTGAAAGAAAATATGTTTAATAATGATAAACAAATGAGTATTAAGATATTTTACTTTAGTGGCAATGCTGCCGTGTAGAAATACTGTAAAAGTAATGCATTCATTTTCATTAATAACGGTATTGCAGTTAAAGAAATACAACAGAAAATGGGAATACCCGAGTACAGTACAACAACTGATGGTTATTTGTGTATGATTGTATATTTTCAGGAATCCTACTCTTATTTTATAGCTCTAATTTTCTTTTAAAGAGGTTTTTATGAGAATTCCTTCAATAACTTCACAGTTTCCCAGTTGAGGAATGTGCCGTCCCGGGTCAGGCAGCTCCCCAGGTGGGACGGCAAACGTGGGGGAGGGGTGTTTGGGGGTCCAGACTATAAACCCCCTTTGATCCCCTCCCTGGAATACCGTGATACTCTGCAGGATGATGGCCCCTCAGAGGAGCTTTGATATCAGCATCAGATCTGTGGCTGCTTCCTTTCCTTAATGTTTATTCTGACAGCTTATAGTGATTATTACAGGAATCACTCGGGAGTTATTTATAGAAACTCCAGGAAGACGGTGGGGGTGGGGGTGAGGGGATGGATTAGCCTTTCATGGGATCAGAGTGTCCTGAAATCCTCACATCATCCAACAGTTGTCATAAATAAATAAAGGAAAAGAAATAGCACACATTTTCTACAATAATAGAGATTTGTCTGGAAGTCATAAACACACACAGGAAATCCCTCATCATGAGCCAATATGATCAGCAGCATGGCATTAGCTAAACAAGAGTTTGTTATCTTATATTTCAGATGGGTATATATGGAAAGCGGCACTTATAAAAGCATCCCTGACTGTCTTTTGTCAGCGGAGAGTCTGAAAGGACCGAGGTCTCCACATTCCTGGACCTGGCTCTTGGATACGACAAGGCACCACAGCAGGTGACATTTAAAACCCTTCAATTCATCTCTGATATTGCACTCCTGCACATGCACTCAAATAAAGAAGCACTATTAGTCGCCACAACTTCTATTTCTCGTCCTAAATGATATGTTTTATAGGTAAAAAGCAGTAGAAATCACAATGCTGAGTTTGATGAACAGAACTCAAAGGGCCATTCATTCAACCAATGCCTTTCATAGCTCAAAATGTAATAAATGAGGTGTTATTATGAAAGAAAACAGGTCATTTAAGGGCAGTTTGTCTCCCGTTTTCCAACATTTAGCGCAATTATAGAGACTGAGGGTCTTTCACGTTTCTCACTGCCACAATATCTCTCTGCTCAAGTAGCCTGATCATTTTAAATATAAATACTTGAGTTGTTTTTTACAATAAAATGTGATTTGCTCCTCACGCTAGTTGCATGGTTTTAAAGGGGAACACCGTCTTATTAAAGATATTCCAATGTGTTATTTCCATGGTTTACGAAAGTTCAAATAATATTGTTGAACACGAGTTACTCTGTCAAAGTGAAATGAATGGGAGATTTGTGTGGACAGACAAGAGGTGGTTTGTTTCTTTCTATTCCCAAATGAGCTTCATTACCTAATAAGCTTTACTTTCCGGTGTCATCTTCGTTGTTTAGGAGTCATTTCAGGGTGAATTGTGTAAAATACTTCTGAAAACATTGTGTTTTCAGCTCTATTGTGTCGCTGTACGTCAGCAGGAAACACAACTGGCCCAAATGTTATGATACTTGGTGGAAGGGTGTAGCATAATGCAAGAAAGAAACCATTTGTTAACTTTGATAGGGAGCTGCTTTCGGTATTCATGTGGTGTCAGAATAATAAAATAAATAAGTTATTGACAAGGGACATTTTAGAAATGGCTATTAATGTGTTTTTTTTAAACAATTGAATGACGGCATGAGAACCTGCACCATCAGAGGAGTATGTGAACGCATGAAGAAAAACAACTTCCCTTAAACAAATCATCAAACATCTTTTCCCAATTCATTGTGGTTTCCAAATGTATTGAAAAAAATTCACTTTTTCAGTTTTGGATTTGGGAGAGACGGTTGTTCACGTTTGCTTCTATTTTTGGACTGTCTATGCCCCTATAAACAACATGATTTAATTTTGAAAAATGGACGAAGTACCCCTTTAAAAAACAGTCTTGAAGTGACACAGTAATGAGGGTTAAATTATATATTTTATGAAAAGATTCCCCGCTCAAAATGCGGGCAGATTCTACATTTCATTACTCGCTCAAACGGTTGGAGACGAATGCTCCTCTCTACAGAAACTGAAGCTCCACACGAACAGCACAGGCTATTGCATCAAATCAACATTAACTTAAGCAGGCCTCTTAAAGTCTAATGTATTATTTATTCTTGCTACAGTTTGCCAGCAATGACATACAATTTAAAGCAGATTAAGAGAAAGACAAAGAGTAATGCATATAAAAATCAATCAGCGGGCAGTGGGGCCGCAGTGGAGAGCAGCTGATTATTAATCAAGAAGCCACAGTGATGTGTCACACACACACTCACACACTCTTGCATGCATACAACACACACATGCTCTCTCCAATCACTGTGTGCATGAATAACACACACTCAATCAGGCACAAATCTGCCTCCCTGCTGTGCATAGATTTAAAAATGACAGCGTAAATTATTGAAAAGGATAAATCTGTAGAGTGAGAGATCAAATTTGCTAAGTATATAAGAGCACCTGGTGTACAGTATAATGGCTGATCAAATATTTACAGGCAACATGGCTGAAATACACACAAGAGGCCACAGAGTAATATCATAAGAGACAGAAAACAGGTTACCCCTTTAACACGATACAGAAAAAAACAGATTTTAATTAATAAAATCACTTAAATGCCTTTGGATTATGGCAGGATGTCGGCTGGTTTCTATCAAAGCTTTGTGAAAGCAGTGCTGACATTTCACAATGACCTTCGAATGTGATCTGCAGCGGTGGAAAGCAGCAGGAAGGAGACTATGAGTGAAAGTGGGGAAATGCAGCAGGGGTTGGAGAGTGTGAAAAACCTGAGGATCCTGGCTGCCTGCTGCTCCTGTCAGCACCGGACAAAGAGAGGGCTCAACACTTATTCTGTTAGACTGCAAACAATGAGGGGATTTCAATCTACTCACGACACCCATGGCAACGGATTGGAGGTGCCAAACACCACGTGGAACTATTTTCTTTCAAGTATAACTAGAACAATGACATTAGAAGATATTGAGGATCCGTGAGAGGTTTTGGTTTTGTTAGGCACTGACTCCTGCTTCTTACTTTTAGGTCAAACATTGGGAATAAAAAACATAATAATAATAAGAGCTGGCCAGGATTCATAACCCTCACATCTATACCCCTTTTCCACCAAAGCGGTTCCAGGACCAGTTTGTTGTTTTTATTATTACAGCTGTATTAACATGCCAATAAAAAGGTCTCACTAAGATCTCGCTAAGATCCCGCTAAGATCTCACTAAGATCTCCGCTAAGATCTCGCTAAGAACTCCGCTAAGATCTCGCTAAGAACTCGCTAAGAAGTCGCTAAGAAGTCGCTAAGATCTTGCTAAGAAGTCCCTAAGAAGTCGCTAAGATCTCGCTAAGAACTCGCTAAAAACTTGCTAAGAGCTCGCTAAGAACTCGCTAAGATCTCGCTAAGAACTCGCTAAGATCTCGCTAAGAACTTCGCTAAGATCTCGCTAAGATCTCGCTAAGATCTCGCTAAGAACTCGCTAAGATCTCGCTAAGAACTCGCTAAGAACTTCGCTAAGATCTCGCTAAGAACTCGCTAAGATCTCACTAAGAATTCGCTGAGAACTCACTGAGAAGCGAACAAGCAACAGACGGAGCTAGAACCAAACTGCCTTTCAGTGGAAAAGAGGTACACGAGGCTTTTCGTTCAATAACCCTGGAGTTGCTAATGAGCTGTTCCACTAAATAAAAAGTTAGATATTCAAGGACACAGTTTGAGTTTGGCACAAGAATAACAAAAACAAAATCTGAACCATCGTCTGGGTTTTAACGGCAGCCACATTCATTGAGTTTGCTACAGTCGCTGCACAGATGATCTGAAGTTAAAAAGGTTTGAAAACATTCTTAAAGAAGCACCATGAGGCGATACAAGAAATGCACGTGCAACACATCTCTGAGATACTATTTCTGTTTTAGAAGATGCAAGAAAACGCACAAAAATACAAACTGCTGCCACGTGGTTAGCGGAGCATGGAATACAGTCATTTGGAAATGCTTCTAATCGATATAACATGTTTGTATAAAAATGGCATTCTGGAAGCAGTGAATTATGGGATTTCACTCCCTGAAAATTATAAAAAATCTGGAAGCAAGGCATGAATGTGTTCCCTATGAGAATTCACCAATTCCTCTATTTTTCAGCAACACCAAGTCGACACTTTGCAGGTGGCGATGGCTTAAACCTGCTCTCAGGGTTTTAAGTATCATATCCATCAAGTGTTTGTGTGTCGGGTGTTCAGTCACGACATAAATAACCGATATAAAATCACTTCCATCACTTTCAACGAAGCTAACGGGCCGTCTGCTTCTCACAAACCCAGCCTGTGTTCCCGCTCCACAACCCTCTCTCGGAGGTTAGTAGTCTTTTATCTCCTCGACACCGTGTGATGCCCCCCCCCCACTCCCTCGATGTGTAAAAGGTCAACCCCACATTGGACCTGCGGGGGTCCTCGTGTCCTCCATCTGCCTCCAGGTCACCGCAGGTTGAAGGCCAGGACCACAGCGATGATGATGCCCACCAGCATGAGGAAGGGCAGCCAGGTCTTCAGAAAACCTGCACAGCTGGAGAACACACAGAGAGGAAGAGTAAATGAAGAGGAGGGAAATAAAAGGTCATGGAAACTGATGATTTGTATTACTTTCAGTATGAAATATCAGCATCATATTTTTACTGATTTTAAAACGGTTGTATTATTTTATGAGGCACTGACCTCCATCATGACATCTTAGAGTGCCACAGTGAGGCGTCCTAAAACCCGGAAGTAAACTCCTTCCGGTTCCTTCGACAAAAACCAATGCAATTTCTCCATAGGATTTTGGAAAATAGCTGGAAATAAGGTCTGTGGTTGAGACACATTTAAGAGACGGATCACGTTTTGTTCAGCCGGATAATCTCCACATGTCTACCCTACTTTTATAATGTTCTAATCATAAATCTAGTCGCCAGAAGCAAAATGCTAACTAGCTATGCTATTAACAAACTACAGCAGGGTCGCTGCTTCAACGTCACGCCAACTTAAGATCCATATTCAAAACTACAGATTCTAAATGGTACGAGTTGAAGCGTTTGTTTGAACAGTCTGCAGGAGGCAGGGACTTGCTTTCAAGCAGAACAGGGCAAACTAACTTAGAGGAGTGTTTACGTGTTCGGCGTAATGACGTACAACGTCCTCCACAACTTCTGTAGTCCTATTCAGCCACTTGGTAACAACCATCGTTTTTCAGACACGTCAACTCTTCAGAAATCACCAGCGGGGTCACTGCTGATGGATTTAATGTCGTAGAACAAAACGTGATCCTTCTCTTCAATGTGTCTCAACCACAGACCTTATTTCCAGATATTTTCCAAAATCCTATGGAGAGAAGGAACCGGAAGTGATAACATGCTAATTTACTTCCGGGTTTTAGGACGCGTCACTGTGGGACTCTATTCCATTACACCCGACAACTCGCAATCGCCAGTTTTGAACCATTGAAAACTTTATTTCATAAAAACGACAAATAATTTATTAAAACATGTACCATTTTTGTAGGCTGTAGAATGTAATTAAATATGGCAGCAGACCATTTACATGCACAAAAACCTATAGAACACACGATAGGAAAGGGAAAACCCAAAAAAGCGTAATAGGGCCTCTTTAAGCTTCATTTGAAAACTTTAATATGAGCCTCTGAGTTAATTAAAAAAGACATTCAGTACAGTTGTCGCACACCAAAGTGACTACATTGGGAAGTGACTTTGTCTAATCAACTTGTTTTAACAATAATCACCTCACTCACTGGGATGTGTATTCCAACCCCATGTCACTTCAGTTCACAGACTTTCTGCAGGACTGTCCTATATACGGTCTTACTACTTCCCTAAAATCAGGTCTGCCTCCCTCTCTCGAGTCCTGAGACACAAACAGGTTCAAGGCATTCCAGTAAAATCCCCCCGAGCCCCCGGATCAGAGAGAGAAACCTCGTCCAGAGCTCCAGAATCTTCTTCTTACGGTGGCTTTACACAGAGCAGCTCAGATCAAATGCTACGCTCCAGTTTGGGCCTTTGAGGCTAATAAAATGCTGATGTTTTAGAATAAACTCTGTCGATCTTCTGTACCAATGCCAAAACATTTAAAGCATTACAAAAATGATGCTGAAAAGCTGTACGCTTCATCCCAGTATCTGATGCTTTCATTTATGACTTGTCAACACATCTAGACTTAGGCGCGAGAAGGAGAACGAAACGGGTTGTATCCGCTACCTTTCTCTCACGTATAGCCCGTTCGTTCACACGAGGCCGTAACGGAACAGCAGAAACTCACCCCGCAAACGATATCGGGACCCAAGGTGAATATATCTGCAACTAGAACGCTCTGGGGGGCCCCAACGGCTCCGTGTGTACGTCCTATACGATAATTTCCTGATAACGATGAAGCCATAGCACCGCCTCTCCCCACCTCTGCTGCTCACTGCTGTAGCATTGTCAGTAGCTACTGTAGCTACTGACCATGCTACAGATGTTAGTGCAACATCTACAGCTCCTCTACTACAACCATCAGCAACAAGTGGACATGAGAACTACATGAACTGCATGTTGCTAAATCCACTGCGGAGAGTAAACTGAAGGGCAACCAGGCAACCATGGCAACCACGCTCGGGGGTCTTCTTCGCTGCTTTCGTGTATTTTGTGGCGGAGGTACAGCGCCACTTAAAGGCCCGGCATATGTACTACAGCGTCTCCAGCGGGTCGAGCGGTCTCGTGTGAAGCGACTTTTTTGATATCGAATTCGGTTCGTTTGTGTTCCCGTGTAAATGTGGTCTTATACATGCTGGAGTTAAAAATGTTTTTGCAACTAGAATATGTTTAAAAAGCTATGACTTTAGGGCCATTGTGAGTTAAAAAAACACATCACTTTACTTGGCAAGTTTTGAATAACCTCTTCACACCGAAGATTTTTTCGCATTAAATGTACAATTTTTTACCAAAATGGCCATAATTCGATATCAAGTTTGTTGATGAAACATTAAAGCTAACTTTAAAGATGGGGGGGGACGATTTAGCCCGGGGAGAGGGGGTCAAACTAGAAAAAAAAGAAAAAAACATTTTAAGAAGCTTTCATATTCCTAGACATCCTACATTTGTGAGAAACCAATAATCAGAAATGTGTTTCTTTTTTTACTCGTGAATAAAAAATAAAACAAATTTGGTACATTGTTTTCTTATTTTTAGAAACCACATCACTCTACTTTTTATCACCATCTTGACATCAAAGACATAGTAAATGTTAGACGTTTTACTCTTTTCGCTTCCTTTTAACAGCCAGTGGTCTTCATACACTGTTGAAAATAAAGCGCCTCAAGCTTGCTGATAAAAAATAAAGCCAAATTGCTACTGGAATAAAGTACATCCAACAACTAACATAGTCTATGTAACGTACAGGTGAATAAATGTTCATATTCCAGGACCGCTGTTCACACAGTCAATGCTTTATTAGTTATACACTCTACATTGTTCAGATAAAACACACTGAAACATCTCTCATTGTGTGTCTAGCATTATTGATTCTAACCCAAACAATGAGCTGCTAGCATCACTCTGATGGTTTTGTTTCTGAAAGTCTACAGGAGAGAGAGGAGCTGCTGAATCTGAGCCAGGCCTGAACAGCGGCCATCTTTTCTCTGTGTTTGGTCCAGGAGCCTCACACCTGTTCAGTTGGACTAAGACCAGGTAAATCATAGCGCCAGTCAAGAATACTCCCTGCTGCATTATGCATAACTATTCATAAACTGTTGCCCTAAGACTCTTCCCACTCTTCCCTCAGACTGAGAATTTGCTTAGGGATATTGCCAAATATCTGGAACAAACTCCCAGAAACCTCTCACTACTTTTAAAAATCCAGGCTGAAGACTTTCTTTTTGCCGCTGCTTTTAATTGAACTATTCACATCTTAAGGCCTGATTTCGGCCGTCGATGAGCGTCCTGTCGCCCTACTCAGATTGGTGTGTCCAACATGTTGAACCTTCCTGGGCGTATAGGACGTACACACGGAGCCGTTTGCCCCCCCAGAGCGTTCGGGTTGCAGATCTATCCACCTTGGGACCCGTTATCGTTTGCGGGGTCTGTTTCCGCGGTTCGGTTACGGCCTCGTGTGGACGAACGGGCTATACGCGAGAGAAAGGTAGCGGATACAACCGTTTCGTTCTCGTGTAAACACCGCCCAAGTCTAGATGTGTTGACAAGTCATAAATAAAAGCATCAGATACTGGGATGAAGCGTACAGCTTACAGGCTGTCGGCAAAATAAATCACTCTGATTGGCTGTTCAGCTTAGCGAATCAGTGCATGAGAAGCAAAACAGAAGTGAAGAAGGCACACAAAGACAGCTATTATTTTTCATTTTCCAGTACCGCACTAAACATGTTTTGGATTACAAGTCGTTATGTGAAACAGTCTGGGATGGACGGGAGTGAAAATGGAACGCACGCTATTTGTTGTTTGTATATATCACGCAGTCTTCCGGTTGTTGCCTCTTTTGAATGACGAATACACATTACCGCCGCCTGGTGGTAAGGAGAGTTATTGCCACTCACGCATGAGCAGTTCGTACGTGCTACTTGGCCGTCGGCTGAAGTCTTTGCGGTGTGTTCAAGTGCGATGTTTTGGCCAAGACGCAGGAGACGTGAGGGGACACAACAATCGGGTCTGTCGGGACGTGTTCTTTGGGGTCAGTTTGGTGTGTCAGGGCCATGTACCTGTGTTATTCATGTTTTAGTTTCTTTGCTTTTTAATGTTTCGAATGTGTTTTATGCTCTTAATGTCTTTCATTTTTGTAAAGCACTTTGAATTGCCTTGTGTTGAAAAGTGCTATATCAATAAACTTGCCTGCCTTGCCTAATATTCATGCGAACACCTCCAAACAAGCTTCGTAGTGATCAGTCCTCTTACCCGACGTGTTTCCCGTGGATGAGCACGAGGAGGCAGAGGTTGACCATGTTCCACGAGGTGCTGTTTTCATATCGCATCAGATTCAGAGCCATGGCCACGTGAGAGTGACAGTTATCACAGCAGAGGTTGTGCTGCGGAGAAAACAAAGAGTACACATCAATCACTTTCATAGAAACACTAACATTACTGCTTCAAGAACTGTTGTTGTGTATCTTACTTATTGGCAAAGTTTTAGAGACCATTTTCAGAGCTATTGCTAATATCACAACACTACTGTATAAGTTGTAAAAGACGTATTTTAACACATTTATTGTAAAACTGTAGTACGATTCAACAAACTAAACTTCTCGAAGTTTATATATTTATATTTTTCATGTTGGTGTTTTTACCGGTAGTATACTGTGCATTTCAACCAATTATCTTTTATATTTTTGGCAAATACTTTACCATAGATATTTCATATTTTTTGATGTTACTTCTTGAATTACTTCTATATATCTTTCTCTATACACATAGACATATTTTCCCCCCAGGGATAAATAACGTTTTTGTTCTGATTCTGATACATAAAAGTCAATAAAAGACCATAATAACGTGTGTTTACCATCCTTTGCTTGTACTCCTCAGAAGCGTCGTGCACCGCCGTGTCCCAGGCATTCGAGCCTCTGGCGTACACTTTGCTAACGTCAAGCATCCAGTACCTGTAAACAAAGAGACAAATATATATCTATCTATATATTTTCTTAGTGGGACGGATGTCGGGGAACAGCTCTGGTTTTTACAAATTCTCTGGAGCAATTTGTTAACAACAATATTCTGATTTACTCACTTCGTTGGTTTTCCAAAAGCCATGTTGTCTTCCTGCAAAAACAAAAAAGATATTTGTTGTTGATGCCCTCATGTTTCTTTGATTAAGCTGGACTTACAGCATGATAGTTAATAAAAACATACGTTCAGGATCAAATCAGTGGAGTCAATTAATTAAATCAACCCTTTCAAAAACATAATTCTTTTTACGATGTGATGATAAATCACACGCACTGGGCTCTTTGGTAACTGGAGTTTGCATTGAGTCCCAGGTCCATCAGTATCAGTCATGTGTAGATTCCCACAGGCTCAACAGGACGAAGACATGTCAGGTCAGAGATAAAAGCACTTGTCCAATGTCAGTAGTTGTAAAAATGTAAAATAAGATGTGACCTGAATGAGATATAAAGACACTGTTATATGAGATGTGTACTCTCTGCATGTGAAACTTTACATTACATGTACAGTGAAAGCTTTAAAGGTCACCTATTATGCAAAATCCACTTTTTCATGTCTATTATAAATCAACATGTGTCCCCTCTGTGTTAAGAGACTCAGGAACAAAGGCCCCCTCTCTTTTTGTCCTGATCCATTTATATAAAAACCTGTCTGAAAACGAGCTGATCAGATTTTTGCCACTCTGTGATGTCACCATGTTTTTTGGCTTGTGTAACCATTAGCCAATCACCAACCAAGGTAAGCCCCCACCACCTTATCACCTGAATCTCCTCCTGGAGCACCATTGAGTTTTTTTCAAACCAAACACTTTGCAGTTCATCATTTGTCATAGTTTGTATTTTTTAATTGTGCAAAAATAAAACGAAATTAAGGATATATCCAGCAGTATTACACAGCATTATTAAATAAGGAAATGCACCTCACATCCTGTTCGCCTGTATTCACCAACAACTTTTTGTGTGCATCAGCCAAATGTGACCAATCTAGAAAACAGCACCGCATGGAAAATCAAGAGACACCATCATTTATTTAAATTGATCCTTGCTTTAATAAAGAGGGGGTGCCAGAAGTGAGAGCTTAAAGGTGGGGTAGGTAATTCACTTCAGAAACACTTTTTGTTATATTCCATGGAATACTCTTAACATCCCGATAGCAATAAATACATTAAAGGTCCCATGTCATGCTTTTCTGGTTATTACCCGTCCCCTTGTGTGTTATGAAGGTTTTTATGCATGTAAACGTTCTGCAGAGTCAAAACCCTCAAAGTACACCCTGTAGCGAGTAAAACTCTAACACAGAAAATACCTCCCCAAAACGCCTCGTTGGAGATACGTCCCTGTCCATTTGATTCTTCCGGGTACGCATGATGTCATGCGTTAACCGGAACCAAATGGACCAATCCGTGCAGCCATTACGTCACGTCCGCGGAGCCGTTACGTTAAGCCCCCGCTGATTGGTCCAAATTGACCAATCAGCGAACTTCCTCACACACACACTCAGTGCAGGCAGCTCTGCTGATCTCTCCTCCCTGGCTGCAGGCTGATAACAGACAGTTGGGATCGCGGCGAAATTCTCTCTGCAGACCCATTCTTACAACGTTTATCAACCTTTCTCTTACTCAATATCAAGCCACACTTATTGTCTTTACTTCGGCTGTGACTTTGTGTGTGCTCAGGGTGAGTTTGCCTGTGTTTCGCTGTGTATCGCTAAACAAGGAAACAACACCTCCACGGAGCTCAGCGCGATTCACAACGTCCCGACCAATCAGAGCACACTGTGCTCACAGGGAGGGTGGGGGC